TTAGAAAGTATTATAAGAAATGGCATCCCTTTGGAGAAAGGCTGGGAAGTTTTTCTCTTTATGTTTCCCCTTCAGACCTATTTAGACATAGGTTTGAAGATGGAATATAACCAGACAGACAGACAGGACACATGGAACAGGTGGCCATTGCTTCTGGCATCCACAAGTTTCTAATCTGAAGGATAGTGAGCCAGCAGGAAGTAGGGTTTGCTGCTGGAAACCTGAGCACTGCAATCGGGTGAGCTGTGTTTGCTTTGGAAGCGATTTCACTGTTGCCCCCTACCCCCCTTTAGGAGCTGCAGTCTGCACCTGGGCCTTGCTGTGAGGTGAAAGAGATTATAGCTTCTAAAAGCCCCAGGCTTTGCTAGATGGTTGCTCAATATGGACTAAAAACCAAACACTGAGCAGCTGGTTCCAATTAGCCCCAGTGAGCATTTATTTAGGTTTACTTCTAGAGAAGGATCCAACCGCAAGACAAGGACAGAAAAATAAAATGTACCACGGTTGCATCGCTGATGACCTTATCTTCCACTTCTTCTTAAGCCCTACACGGGGGTATCTTACTTTGTAAAGAGTTTCTTACCGTTCGCTCTGTCCCTTTGCTAGAAGTTTCTTAGATGTATGAGTAATTTACATCTTCCCTCACCCTGGGCTAAGGACTTTGCTAACAATAGATTGACAGTGCTAAATGTTAACCTTTAGCAACTTGATGGGTTATTTATTTTTCTGTAGGTTTCAGAAAAATTGTTTTGTCGAGGTATCAGTACAAATAATCAGATTTGTCAAGAAACAGTGTGCCTGCTTGGCATTATAACCGTTGACACTGGCAGATGTATGTTTGTCGTCAGAAAACCTGTTTTACAATGGGATTTTCATTCTGTTTTGGGCAATATATGATTCAAATGAATCACTAAAAATATTTTCCAGTGATTATTAATAACTTGGTAAGTCAAGTTATTAATGACATTTCAAAATTACATTTTACTAGAAGAGTCTGTACAATAAAAATGATGATTAACTATTGAATGCACCATAGAAGCTATTGTATAATATGTGAGATTTAAGTACAGTTTCCCCAAAAGTTATTTTAAAACCTAGGGAGGAAAAAAAATCAAACACACCCAACTCTGTCATTGTCTATGATGTGAATTGCTTCACTGAACCATGTTGTTTCTGACAGACCCCCTTTTTTATTTTTAAATTTAAATTTAAATTAGAAACAAGGTTGCTTCACATGTAAATTCCAGGTCCCTCTCCCTTTCCCTCCCCTCCTCCCGCACCCTGCCACCAACCCCTCCAATATCCCCTCATTTCCCCAGGGAGGATGAGGCCCTTCATGGGGGTGTCCATAGTCTGTCATTTCATCCAGGGCAGGGCCTAGACCCTCCCCCGAGAGTTCAGGGTGAGAGTGCATCTCTCATTGTTGGATGGGCACCCAAAGTCCATTTGTATACCCTGGATAAATACTGATCTACTATCCAAGGCTCAATAAATTACCTAGGCCTCCTCACTGACACCCACATTCAGGGGGTCTTGATCAGTCCCATCCTGAATTCCCAGCCATCAGTCTGGGATTTAAGAGCTAACCCTTGTCAGATCAGCTGTTTCTGGGTGTTAAACCAGCCCAGTCTTAACCCCTTTGCTCATCAGTCCTCCCTCTCTGTCACTGGATTTCTTGAGTTCAGTTAGTGCTTAGCCGTGGGAGTCTGCCTCTGCTTCCATCAGCCATTGAATAAAGGTTCTGTTTCCCAGACTCTCTGGCCATGGGATTGTAGGCTGGCACTCCCCAGATCTATGTCTAAAATCCATATATGAGAGAGTACATGCCATGTTTCTCTTTTTGTGACTGGGTTACCTCACTCAGGATGGTTTCTTCTAGTGCCATCCATTTGCCTGCAAATTTCAGGATTCCATTGTTTTTTTTCTGCTGAATAGTAAGTACTCTATTGTGTAAATGTACCACATTTTCTCTATCCACTCTTCAGTCGAGGGGCATCTGGGTTGCTTCCAAGTTCTGGCTATTACAAATAATGCTGCTATGAACATAGTGGAACAGACATCCTTGTTGTATGAATGGGCATCTTTTGGATATATGCCTAAGAGTGGAGTTGCAGGTCTTGTGGTAGGTTTATATCTCCATACTGATTTCCAAAGTGGCTGTACAAGTTGGCACTCCCACCAGTAGTGGAGGAGTGTTCCCTTTTCTCCACATCCTCTCCAGTGTAAACTGTCATTGGTGTTTTTGATTTTAGCCATTCTGACAGGAGTGAGATGGTATCTCAGAGTTGTTTTGATTTGCATTTCCCTGATGGATAGGGATGTTGAGCACTTTCTCAAGTGCCTTTCAGCCATTTTAGACTCCTCTATTGAGAATTCCCTATTTAGTTCTGTAGCCCATTTTTTGATTGGATCCTTTGGTGTTTTGGAGACTTGCTTCTTGAATTCTTTGTAGATTTTGGAGATCAGCCCTCTGTCAGATGTGGGGTTAGTGAAGATCTTTTCCCATTCTGTGGGCTGCCTTTTTGTCTTGCTGACTATCACAGACCCCCTTTTTATTCATGGTTATTTGTAAGGTTTCCTAAATGATCCTAGAACTCATCAGGATTTCTGAGTGTGTTAGGTGGGGACTGTGTTTTGGTTTGAGTCATAAATGTAAGATTATTCTTGCCTTAAAGAGAACTAGCAGGTTTGCTGGCAGACATAAGTGACTGTTGAATGCTATAAAACCCGGGTAAGCAGTGTGCTAACCCTAGTCAGAACTGTCCTGGGTTAAAGTCTACAGTGACCTCTTTCAACATGGCTTAGTTCATGGCTCAGCTACTGCCAGGAAAAAGATAATCATTCTTGTATTAGATATAGTTTCCAACTGCCATTTAGACAGAGCAATCATCTAAAGTTTTGTCTGTCTGTTACATGCAGGTAGAGATGAGCCACATTATTTTAACACAAACAAATGCATAAATGGCTTTTGGGTGTCTCAATAAGAAATCATGAATGCAGAATATGTGATAAACTCCTAACAAAATGACTGGCTGAGCACTAGTGCCCTTTGGTTCTTGCATGCTGTTAGTTATTGCTGTGTAACAAACTATTCCAAACTCAACAGAGTTAAAATAGTGACTAATTATTGCTCTGGAGTTTATCATCAACTATATAGTTCTATTTACTGTGGCTAGGCCACCTCATGAATCTTCAGTCAGCTGGAGTTCATTTGTAGGCTACTTTTTTGGTCTAGGGTTGGGCTTACTCACAGTTTTAGAGCCTAGCCAGGATGGCTAGAATGACTCAGTTCTGTTCCATGTCTCTCATTCTTCAGCAGGCTAGCATGTGTTTGTCTTCAGCAAGCTAGCATGTGTTTGTTCACAGGACATTGAAAAAATTTATATATGTATATCTATATTCAAATATATATAAACAAAATAACACACACACACACACACACATATATATATGCACCTATTTTCCAGGGGGTAGAAAATAGATTCTACTTATTGTGGGTAGGGACTAAAAGTCACATTGCAAGGGGAAGTTAGGGTAATTGGGGCCAGTTTTACAATCAGCATCCTGCTGTGCCCTCCACTAACATAGAGTACACAGGAAATGAAAAGGGTTTATAAAATAAATCAACTTTTTCTGTCTCCTTTAAATTTCAGATTTGAAATTTGCCTTTGATTCTTTTGTGGCAAAGGTATGAGACCGTGTGTGTCTGTGTCTGTGTGTGTGTGTGTGTGTGTGTGTGCATGTGCACGTGTGAATGTGTGCATGTGTGTATCTGTATGTGTGTATGCATGCTTCACATGCATGAGCATTTGTGTGTGCATATGTGTCTGGGATAGATCACAGACTCTTGAGTTTGACCTTCCGGAACCCAAGACAAAGCAGTATCTACACAGCAAGAATGGATGGTCCATTCAGAGCTCTGCCATTGGGATTAATGCTTCCTGGAGAAAAAAAAAAATCCAACTGGCCTCTGGATTGGCTCCCAAACCTTTGCCAAGGGAGATCCAGGTTCTTTGGCTCTGAATTGGTTTCACCAAGGCTACACACTCATGGCTGAACAACTCCTTAGAGTCAGGCAGAGGCAGGCAAATGAATCAGTATCCCCTACAGAACTTCAGTGATCCTATCTTTTTTTTTTTTTTTTTTTTTTTGGTTTTTATGAGACAGGGTTTCTCTGTATTGTTTTGGAGGCTGTCGGTCCAGCCCGGCCTCGAACTCACAGAGATCCGCCTGCCTCTGCCTCCCGAGTGCTGGGATTAAAGGCGTGCGCCACCACTGCCCGGCCCAGTGATCCTATCTTATACAATAAAAGCCAATCACAGCTTAAGTCACTGCCTGGTGGGCAGAGAGAACCAGTGGCCATGCCCTCCCTTTCCATTCCTCTCAGTGAAGAACACTGGAAAGTATTTAGGTGCAAAGGACACAGATTATATTGAGAGTGAAGGTAATTCCAGTATGTCTTTCATTTGCTCTGTCAATGACATTGACAACGTGCTTCTTTAACTCTCCCCCCTGGCCTAATCAAGGCCGGTCTACAGATAGACATGTGTCCTGTGACTCAAAGAGCATGGGAATGTTTCTAGTTTCTGGTGACTTTGTCCTCATAATAGTTAATGGTCTTCATTGGTACAAGTAGTGCTATTGGGGTGGACCAGCAACTTAGAATTCTTCAAGGTTCACAGCCTCATTCCTTTCCACACTCCTGTCCTCAGTGTAGCAGTGCTAGCTGTCCCGCGCCACAGTCTCGCCAGCAAGAACGACACAGGACACTCGGATCCTTCTGCAGTAAAGCTTTAATGCATCTTGAGAGACAGATGATCAGCTTCTAAGAGGGAGACCCCAAGCTAAGAAACCCAGCCCCTTATATAAGCCTAGGAGCTCCGAGTGAGACGTGTAGAGCCCGGATTGGTGGTTTGCTCATCACCCCAGATGACGCCACGGGAGAGGCAGAGCTTAAACGGTGGACTCCAACCGACAACAGATGTCGGCGCCATCTTGTAATGGCGATAGCGATAGCGAGGGCGGCTCCTCACAGCTAGCTCATAGCTTCACGATAGTCCCCTCCATTATGTCCTCACAGGACAGCATTTATATCAGCAGAGAGAGGAGAAAGGGAAAAAAAAATCTTCCTATGACTTGCTGCTCTACACATAGCATCCTTGACTGGGCTTCCCAGTTACACCTTGCTGAGTAAAGCACAACTAACTCCAGCCAATCACTTTACGAAGGTAAGGAACTCGCCCTGATGGGCTCAGACCCATTTCAGTATGCATTTCCATCTGTGTTTGACATTTATGGTCCTTGGCCTTGCTTTGATTTTCAACCAGGGCTGGAGTGAGGGCTGGCTTCTTGGAGCATGCAACCCCTCATTTAAGAAGGGCTGTGCTTAGACTAGCATTCTTCTAGTGCTGCCTTGAAATTCTTAGACCTTTATAGACAAAGAGCCCCGCCCTTTTCAGTTTGCATTTAATTCTGCACTGCCAACTTTTAGTTGGTCCTGCCCAACCTTTTCTTGCTTCCTTTCCAAGCCCATGCAGTTGCTTTCTCTCCCTTGCTTTCCTGAGTGCTGAGTCAGCTGGTGAACATGGTCAATTCAGAAAGAAAAATCTACCCAGGGCAGGATGGACAACAGTGAGAAAATGCTCCTACATCTGAGCCATCAAGGTACTCTGCACATTTCATGGAAGGTCCTGAGGATGAGGGGTAGGGGTCCAGGTAACAGTGGTAACCTTGATAATACATCCTTCTCTGACCCACTTTCTCAGGTCGACTTGCAAATGAGCATACACACAGTCTTATCTCAGATTCTGCCTTCAGGGAGTCTGCTGTTCAAACACCAAGTGAATAAAATCCGTGTCTTTCTAAGAAGAAGGCTACGTAGCTGTTGACCCATTGGTAAGCTGTACACACAGCGCCAGAAGTGTTGCTTATGGCATAAGAAGGAGAATCCAGTTCAGAGATGATATCTCTGGCTTCCAAACCAGATATAGTGTTTACTGAATACCTACTATGTCCCAAGCACGGTGCTGTTTTCCCATATGCTGTCGTGTTAGTTACACAGCAGCTTCTTTCCATTGTCTCCATCGGCCAGATGGGCACAGCAAAGATCAGAGTCTCGAGGGGCTTCCCAGGGACAGGAAATGGATATAGATTACTTTAAATTAAGTTCTATTTTAATTTTAGTGTGTGTGTGTGTGTGTGTGCGCGCGCGCGCACGTGTGTGTTTTGTCTACATGTGTGTTTGTGAACCATACAAGTGCCTACTGTCTTTGATTCTGTGGGACTGAAGTTACAGACAGCTGTGAACCAACATGAGGGTTCTGGAGATCAAACTCGGGTCTTCTAGAAGAGCAGCCTGTGCTCCCAGCTGCTGAGCCATCTCTCCAGCCCACAGATACAGACTTTTAATGGGAGTTCTCTGGACATATTTCCTGCAATAGCACCATGACAAAAAGAGTCCTTGAGCACGGGCTAAGAGGCTGACCCTAAGCTTGTGTCACTCATACAGGACCTCACTCCTCCTGCAGAACATTCAGTGAGCAGGACAGCCAGTGGCAAAGCTGGGCTTTGGAATACTTTTAGAAGTTTCCCCAGCAGTGTTTCAGGGTTGTGGCAATGAAATAGGCTTTCCTCTGGGCCTTTGAATATTGTATAAAAGTTTCCCCAGAAGTGTTTCAGGTTTGTGGCCAGAGCCTGGCTTATAAATTTTCTTTAAAACCAGAGCAACCTGGTATTTTCCAAGCCTGGCCAGACAGATGGTCCTATTTTGCTTTGTCACATTCAAGGGAGTAGCCTGGCCTTTTGAGACTCAGTGCTGTGAGGCAGTCTACACTTGGAGACTGTTCTGGATAATGAGGTCAGGCAAACATTTGAGGAGACAGACCACAGACTACAGGGACACCACTGTCTTTTTCCAGGACAAGCTGGTGAAAGAAACCAGACATCTATCCAGACAACAACGTCTATGATTGAGGCTGAATTGGGAAAGGGTGCCAGGAGCTGGCTAGCAGTCAGCGACATGGCTGAAGAAAACTATCACGTCATTATTCTCCAAGGACTTATTTTAGTACATGGTCTGTGAGGTGTGACTCTCTTCTGTGGAAACTTACTAAGTTGCCAGCACAGGATGAATTAAATTGAGTGACAAATTAATAAATTATGCATATAAAATTTCCAATAGAGACACTCATATTTATTTTTATTATATGCATAAATTTTTATGAGATAAAATTTGGTGTATCATTAACCCCTGCTGATGTCAATCTCCCCAAGATTGTTCCTCTCAGTTGATAAGACATTGGCAAAATGTTCTTAAACCTTTTGTAGCTTTCATCTCCCATCAATAGAAAAACCTTGTGAATGCATCTCCTATACACTAGAAATGATATTGCTAAACTGTTTCACTGATATTACATATTATGTATAATGTGGGCTGGGGACATAGATCAGGTGATAGAGTGTTTGCCGAGCATGCATGAGGAACTGGCTTCAGCCTCCAGCACTACATAAAATTATAGGTGCATACCTATAATTATAGGTAGTGGTAAAAGAATCAGAAGTTCAAGGCCATCCTCAGATATACATTGAGTTTGTGGCCAGTCTGGGCTACATGAGACCTGTCTGAAAAATTAAACACAAACAAAAAACAAATAAAGTGACCTTATTTTGTGTATACTGGACAGCAGGCTATATTTAAAGGATAAGATAAACATTAAACCATCTTAAAGGCACATTTAACTTAGGGTCAGCAGAAACATCTCTGCTTTAGCAAAAAGTAATATGATGAAATGGACTTTTTTTAAAAAATCAATCTTTGGTTCAAAGGTTTGGATCAATTCGGTTTACTATAATACCTTTTTTATTTTACTAAGGTTTTATTTTGGTGGTTTTTGCTATACTCACAAAGTTATGTCCACATTATCACTGCCTAATTTTACAGTATTTTTCTTACCCTCAAAAGAAACCCATGCTCATTACTAGTCATCCCAAACTCCCTTCCGCTCTCAGCTTCTAGGGACTGGTAATCATTTCTGTCTCTGTGGCTTTGCTGGACATTTCACCTAAGGAGAATGATAAAGATGTAGTACAGGTGTGCCTTGCTCATTAGCGTTATGTTAAGATTTATCAGTGTTACGGTAATGTGTATCTGTACTTCGTTTCTCTTCGTGGCCAAATAACGTTCCAATGAATGGGTGTGCCACATGTTCTTAACCTCCTAATCAACTGATAGATATTTGGGTTGCTTCTGCTTTGAACCTGTAAGGAATAATTGTGATTTGAATACTTGAGAGCTCTTTATATAGTCTCTGTTTGGATACTAGACCTTATCAGATATGATTTATGCTGTTCCGAGGGTTGTTCTGTGGCTTTTTATTTCTTCACAGCGACCTTTAAAGCACCAACCTTTTTAACATTATTTTATTCTGTGTGTATAAGTGTTTTGTTTGCATGTATGTCTGCCCACTATGTATGTGTCTGGTGCCCCCAGAAGCCAGAAGATGGTGTTGAGTCACCTGGAACTGGAATTGCAAATGGTTGTGAGCTGCCATGTGGGTGCTGGGGACTTAACCTGGGTCCTCCAGAAGAGCAGCAACCTCTTCTCTTAACTGCTGAGCCATTTCTCCAATCACACATTTTCTTAGAAATTTCGCAAACGTTTTTTGAGACAGGGTCTTCTTATCTATCCCTGGCTATCATGCTACTGCTTGTTATGTGGCCTTATAGCAATCCTGTTGCCTCAGCATCCTAAGTGCTGAAATTAAAGGTGTGTGGTGTGGAAACATTACTTTGTGAGTTTGGAAATGCTTTCATTGTTCTGAAGTTTTGTTGCTAATAGCATAAAAATGCTAACTTTGATTGTTTTAAGTCTTTTTCTGCAATATAGTAACTAAACACCTATCAGTTTCCTTCCAAACAAGCAAACAAACAAACAAACACAATTGTAAAATAAGTGCCTGCTGTGTGTAGCATCTCAAATCATATGAAAAGGGTTTTGTGTTGAAAAAGCAAGAAAATTTAAAATGGAATTAATTCTTTTCATTTAAAGAAAATTTTCTCTTTCTACCCTGTCCTTTGGATGTCCAGTCTCTTTCTTTGGAGATTTGGTAAATGTAGAAGACCAATACGAAAAGAAAAAAGTACTCAGAATTGTGTCCAAAAAGACCAAGAGATGAGGCAAAGAAAGGGCGAGGTGTGGAGGATTGTGTTTCTAGAATGAAGTAGAGAGAGAATGATAACATGAAATCGTCAAACTAACAGCTGAGAGTTTGTCAGGATTAATAGATGAGTCAGAAACAAAAGCCCAATAAATTCCAAGCAGCAAAAAAGAAGACAGGGAAAGAAAAGGATTTTTCAGAGTGTGAGAAATAGTCCTTATCTTTATATTAAGGCTGTTTCAAAATGACATGCAATTCTAAATTCACCAACTGTACATGAGTGGATTTCCTTGCTTGTAAATAATGCTGCCGTAGCCCGAAGGTTTGCATTCCTCCAGCTTTCTGTGTTGAAATCCTAACTCTCACGGTGAGTATAAGCAGTGGAATCTTCACAGAAAGAGACTGAGTATCCACAGGACAGTAGCCAGAGCACATAACAATCCTGGGCCAAGTGAGGCCCCAGAGTCCATCCCGCAACCTCCGCAGAGCTCCGTCCCCAGCAGGCAAGACTAGCTCAGGGATGGTCAACTTTACAGTTTTCACCTTGGCTTCCTGTGAACACCAAGCAGAGAAGACCAGATGGGCACCTAAACGTGTCACACATGGTGCCCACTCCAGTTAGCCCACCCCTAATGCCCTTCGCCAACAGCCTCCAGTCGGAGGACAGCCTTCCGTCTCCGTTGCTATGAGGCTTTACTGGGTCCTAGTTTGCCTTGGATATTATGCTAAACCCCAGAGATGGTTGCCATCTCCTTGCTGAGCAGCAGCTTCCGGGTCAGTGGCCCGCTTCCGGCTGCGTAGTTTTCATTTTGGCACCAGTTAGGACAACACTGCTGCTTGCTGTTTCACTTGGTTTCTTTTCATGGCTTTCGATTGCAAAATGAGATCACTTGGATCTTTTCCCTAACTGGTCATTTTAGACCCTCTCCATTTGCCATCACTTTTATATTTTTATCTGGTAATTCTGACGCCCAGCATCTTTGGGGGGGGGGGGCGTGTTTTCCTCACTGGCTTCTGTCGACTCCTGAGTGTTCTTTGGTTTTCTTTCCTAGAAATGTTAAGTTCAGAGTCGCTGTGCTCTTTGTGATAGCTGTCTGTAGCCTGACTTGAGGGCATGCTCTCTAGGTACATTTCTTTTCGAGCTTCTGAGTCTCCAAGGTTACTTAAAATCAAGTCCTCTTTAGGAGTTTTCCGTCCGTGGTGTCCCTCTGGAGGCACTGCAAGCAGGTGAAGCTGTCTCTTCACTCTTGTGCAAATTTTACTATCAGATATATTAGTGACACAGGCTCCAACGGAATGTACAGACATTGACTCCATTATCTGCTAAACTCCTAAACAAACAAGTATTAGGAAAAATTTGTTTTGCTTTGTTTTGTTTTTTGTTTTTGAGACAAGGTTTCTCTGTGTAACCCTGGTTGTCCTGGAACTTGCTTTGTAGACCAGGCTGGCCTTGAACTCAGATACCCACCTGCCTCTGTCTCCCCAGTGCTGGGATTAAAGGCATGCGCCACCACCACCTGGCTGAAAAAAAATTAATACAAATAAAGAATATAGTACAAGGAATATGTTTTAACAGACATGTCTAAGTTAGGTTTCTTATTACTGTGGAGAGAAGACACCGTGACCATGGCAACTCTTATGAGGAAAACATTTAATTGAGGGGGCTGTTTACAGTGCCAGAGGCTGAGTCCACAACCAGCCTGGAGGGGAGCAAGGCAGACGGGGTACATATTCATGTGA